TCTGAATAAGAGCCTTAAGGACAGGTACTAGGGAGCTAATGAAGGTTTTTGAACTTTGGGGTGAGGTATCGATTATACTTACATGGGGGCTGTTAGGTAAACTTGAATGGGGAAAGGCTAGGGCAAAACCAGAAGGTGGCAGGTTGGGATAGATTCTGTAGGGGATGACTATAGGTAAGTTAATTTATTTCTTAGTGCCTCAGTGCCTTCACCTGTAAAATGGGAATGATAATAGTGCAGGTTTGTGAGCATCATGTGAAATCCTGGAAAGTGCTGACACAGTGCCGCTGGAGGCCACAGATGTCCATCCAGAGCGGTGGGCTGGAAGGCCTGTACTGTTGGAATGCGGAATCAGTCAGAGTTGTACATAACAAATTTCTCTCTAGTGGTTACAAGTTTCAAAAAAGTACACTGCTGGGCACTAGTGGCTCACTTCTGTAATCCTAGCTACTCAGAAGGCTGAGATCTGAGGAACAAGGTTTAGTCAGCCTAGACAAAGAAGTTCGTGATATTCTTATATTCAATTAATCACCAAAAAGCTGGAAGTCAAGACATGGCTCAGTGATAGAATGCCAGCTTTGAGCAAAAATCCTAAAGATGAGTCCCTAGGCCCTGAGTTAAAGCTCCAATACTGGCATCCATCCCCTCCCTCCTCCCAAAAGTATACATACCTTGGTTACCTATCTGCTTTTTGTTTTTTTATTTTTGTTAAATATTGTCAGAATCTTTCTTTCATTGGTGGGTGACCATGTAACATGTTTTTCTTATGTTTTTGGCATGCTTGATTATTCTCTCATTGATGAGAAGTGTTTGAAATTTGAGTGTTTATTATAGCTTTTGTTACTAATGTAATAAAATGATAGTGCAAATCTCCCATGAAACCAAGGTGAACTATAAACATATGAGGTTATTGTGAGGAAAAGTGGTAAAATAAGAAAGGAAAGAGTCCCCCTGCAGTGCCAAAACATGGTCAAGAAGCAGAAAGGGAGACAACCTCATGCAGAAAGGGCTGAGCATGTGCCAGGCCCAGCTGTATAGCAATCCTGTCCTGCAAGGATGAACTCAATCCACGAACCCAGCATCAATCTCTAATTCCCTTGAATTAGATTCCATTTCTACTGCTTTGTTGCTGCCACACTGGTGAACAAGCTTCCAGCCCACGAACCTTTGGGGTCCACACACCCACTTTCCTACTTGTCTCACTAGATTCCTGCCAAAGAATTTTTACCCTGTGTTCTTCCTACTTTTGCATACCAGATGTCTCTCTTATGTGTCATTGAAATAGCACACCCTGAGGTTCTGCTGAAACAAAGCAAGAATTTTTGAAAAGAAATGTGATGCCAGATAAAGTCAGACAAAAGTCCAGCTTGGTATGTGTGAAGCTTACTTGGTTCAGCTGTTTAAATGCGCCGGCTTGTATCTGAGTGCCTTCCTGTTTCTTTGTGTAGTGTCTAGCCTTACTTATCTTGATGTAGCCAGAAAAATAATTTCATCAAGTTACCAGAATGATACCATGGAACTAGAATAAATACCATTTTAATTGTGAGTGCCTTCTTCCATTCGGCCACACCCAAATTAAGACTTGGAGAATACTAATACTTAGTTAGAGTGATTTTTTAGGGAGAATAGAGACACAACATGCTGCACTTTGTGGATCTTTTGCATGTCCATACAATTTGAAGGAATTAATGACATTTGACATCAAGTGAGTGTTCCTGATTAAAGCCTCAATCATAAAATATATAAAAGGAAGGGTATTTCCACTGCCAGCAGAATGTTTGTAGTTAAATGTTTTGATGTGTGTTGGAGATTTTCTGCAAGAGTAGAACAAGTAAACCAGCTAACTTGTCAGACTCTAGAACATTTTATCTGGACTCTATCCAGTTAGAAAAGGGAAATAATTGAAATCATTTGCCTCTCAGTCTGTATAAAGTGATTTAAGAACATTAAAGATGACAGAGCATGATAGAGAGCAGAAAACTGTGTTCAATATGCTGTATATATATGAAAATCCCGTGTCTAAAGTGACTGAAAATCTGAAACTTTTTTAGAGTTGGTATGACACTATAAATGGAAAAGTATGGCCAGGCACTGGTAACTCTTCACTTGTAATCTGAGCTCACCAGGAGTCTGAGATCTGAGGATCTTGGTTTGAAGCCAACCTAGGTAGCAAAGTCTGTGAGACTCTTTTTTTTTTTTTTTTCCCAATTAATTACCAGAAAGCTCAAAGTGGAGCTGTATCTCAAGTGGTAGAGTATTAGTTTTGAACATAGAAGCTCAGAGACCAATACCTGGGCTCTGAATTCAAGCCCCAGGACTGGCACACACACGCAAAAAGAACAATATTATTAATATACCACATAAAACTACCTTCATGCTGTGTGAATAAAGCAAGTGTAAAATTTTTTTTGGGGGGGTTCTGGTCGTGGGGCCTGAACTCTGGGCCTGGGTGCTGTCCCTCAGCTCTTTAGCTCAAGGCTAGTGCTCTACTACTTGAGCCACAGCGCCACTTCTGGCTTTTTTCTTTTTGCTTATGTGGTACTGAGGAATCCAACCCAGGGCCTCAGGTATGCAAGGCAAGCGCTCTACCACTGAGCCACCTTCCCAGCCCAATTGTAAAAATGTTTGTGTTCAGACTTGCCTCCCATCCTCGATATAGTTCATTATATATATGCAAACATTTCAAAAGCCAAAAAAGCTCCAAACTCTCTGGCACCAAGTATTTCAGGTGAGAATTTGCCACCCCACTCTCAAGTCCTGTCATAGACTGGGGTGACTGACCTAGCTCCCTTCCTTATAGCTCATCATCTCTTTACTTCTATCCTACTTTGCCCTTCATATCCACATCCTAGACCTTGACATCTCCTGGAACAGTTTTTCCCATGGTGCACCTGTAGCTTAGTCATCCCTCTCCAACCATATCCTTTTATCCTTTTACCCTCCCCTCTTAGCCTTTTCAAAGTCTCCAGTCTGTGGATGCCTTGGCTCTCTCCCTTTCTCACCTTCTCTTTTTGTCTTCATCATCCTGGCCACACCTCAGGAAGACCTTTTTAACACTATTGTCCATTCCTTCTGTTCCCACTGTTTATCTGGCACACTCACCTAGAAAAGCTGCACCCTATAGCCACCCAACTGTCTCATTCTCCACACACATTTGGGCTATAGGAGAAAACACTACAGCTTTTCAGCTTCCCAAAGGAAGTTCATAACTTCACACTCTGCTGGCCTCTTCACTGTCCCAGGAGGTTCTTTCTTGATTTCTCAGCTAATTTCTCTATTTTCCATTTTTGTCTCCATTTCTCCCATACAGGTCTTGGTGTATATTGCCTGCCTACTCACCTTATCCACCTCTATTTATACTTTTCCATGGTTCACCATTGTCCTAATAACACAATCCAGAGTCTTTAGTTAGATCTGCAAGGCTCACCCTGGCCTCCCAGCCTCCTGATACCCCTCTCCCTCTCGACCACTATGTTCTCACTAGTTTCAACTACAACAAATTTCTGGTGAGCCCAGGCTTTCTCATTTCTAATGTAGGACTTTTTTCCTTTTTCTTTTTTTTTTTTTTTTGGTAAGGAGGCTTGAACTCATGGCTTTATACCTTTGCACTCTTGTTTGGCTTTTTGGTTCAAGGTTGGCACTCTATCAAATGAGCTATACCTATACTTTTTGCTAGCTAATTAGAGATAGAGGCCCACAGACTTTCCTGCCCAGGCTGGCTTTGAACTTTGATCCTCCTCTGCCTCCTCAGTAGTTAGGATTACAGACATGAGCCACTGGCACCCAACTACAAAGGACTTTTTTGGCTCCTGACTCACTCATTTTCCCTCTGCTCTGATTTTGTCTTTGTCTCCTGTCCCTCTTAGCACAGATATCTAAATGGAACATCTCAGATACTCCAGTATCTCAATCTTTTAGAGCATTGCCTGAATGCTTCTAGACTCAAGCATTCCAAATAAAAGTTATTGTATTATGTACTGAAGAACATTTTCAACCTCCTTGCCCTCTCCTGTCCCCTTACTGGAGAATACAGTGCTACTTTCTTGCCCACACTTCCCTATATTGGCATCTTTCTTCCTGTATTTTTTATTTGTCTGCTTCTCAGTAGATTTCTAGTTTGTCAACAAACTATTTTATTTATTGTTGTCTGCCTTGTGGTTAGAAATAGGTCTCAATGCACTATATCTATTTGGCAAGTTTTTTGACTGTGTTAATGAATTGACCAGTTATTAATAAAGTGAATAGTGAGCAATAACTGCAACAGTGCCAGCTAACATTTTATTGAGAATTTACCCTGCACCACAGATTGTGCTAGTAACCTTACAGGCATTGCCTTCTTTCTCTTTCCCAATTACCCTAGGGGATGAAGTCTTCTATTTTGTCAGTTCTATGAATAATAACACTTTGGAATGGTAGGCTGTGTTTTAGATCACTGCTCTGAATGTGTTAGCAGGGGCTTTGTTAGCTTCTGAGGAGGAGGAGGATAGAAGTTGGGGGAAGATGGATTGAGCTTCAGCTCTAGAAGAATTGTAGCCTAGGAGAAAAGACACTAAAAACAACCATCATTTGAATATAAAAATGATCACATTTTTGATGGACATTTATACAGGGCACTCTTACTATTCTGTACTTGAATTCTGGAAGATATATATCTTAACATAATATTATATCATAAACATAATTCACTAAGTAGACAATACCATTTTCTATCAAAGTCTTACATTATGAAACAACTAAGCAATGTCAAGATGAGTTTTTTTAAAGACCTTTAGTAGTAACAATAAGGAAATTAAATACAGAGGTTTAGTATTATATATTTTAGTATTTACATATAGAGGTTCAGTATCAGATTTAGTGCTCACATAATGGAATTATGTTTGCTAAAATTGAAGTGAATCCCATCTTTGTTAACAATAACAAAAGTCAATGATGAAATAAAGTTCAATGTGCTACTCCATACACTTGATTTTTGAAATCTGTTGTTTTTGTTCATCTTTTAGGAGAATCATGAAAAAAGTCTCCATGGAGCCATCTGAGCGCCTGGCCAGCCTCCAGGCTCTGTGGGACAGCCAGACCGTGGCAGAGCAGGGCCCCTGTGGTGAGCATGCATTTTAAAACCAAAATATAAGCGGCTGGATGGATGTCCACCTGCCAGGAAGTTAAGTCTATTCCTGGTTTGCTACTGTGAAGGTACAGTTAGTTTTAAGGTGTAATTAGTACCACACAGTCTTTAGATTGGTGGACGAACATCCTATATTTAAGCTGTATTGCATCCTGCTATGTGCTTACCGTAGAAAAAGGGGGAAGAATCTTTGCTGTTTTTCCAAAGGAAAGGATACTCAGCATTGTCAACATTGGTCAGATTTAACCCTTAGAGGTTTTTATTTAAAATAATTTTGGTGAAGACCTGTCAACATCACAGCATTTCTGTTTTGTACTTCAGGTGGATTTTCTCAGATGTATGCCTGTGTTTGTGACTGGCTTGGATTCTCATACAAGGAAGAAGTACAATGGGTGAGTGGACCCGTGTACATATGTGTACATACCTGGAGAATATTTTCATGTTTGCTTTCTTTCTCTCTCTGCCCCACTCCTTTCCACTCTCCCTCTTCCTCCCTACCCATTTTACATTTTTTTGTTAAAACCATCCTTCCTTAGATTGCATAAGAAATCTGCCTCCGTAATTGTCTGATTGTCTGCATTTGTCTTATTTTCCTGATCACATACATGGATTAGTGACATTGATGACTTCTATTTCACACAGGATGTGGATACGATTTATCTAACACAAGACACCAGGGAATTGAATTTGCAGGATTTCAGTCATCTTGATCACAGGTAAGCCACTTCTTATTTTCTTTGCTTTTTTTCTACTCTCAAGTCTGTTTTCAGAGGTGCAGGTCTGTGTGGGCACTGAGGGATATGCATGGTCTCCAGAGAGGCTTTGTAACAGAGGAATCAGGAGAATTTCCAAATCTCTAGGTTTGCCTTTCAAGTAATCATTTCAAATATGTTTAGCACCACAGATGGCTTGTGGAGGTGCATAAATATGCCCCAAATCAGAGTTCTTATTCAGGAAATGTTGAGATTTACCATGGAAGTAGTATTATTCTTAGGTTCTAATACCAGCTTGTAAAATCTACTTAACCTCTCTCTTTTTTTTTTTTGGTGCCAGTACTGGGACTTGAACTCAAGTTCAAGAGAGATGTCCACTTTTTGTTCTTAAGGCTAGTGCTCTACCACTTGAGCCACAATGCCACTTAATTTTTCTATGTAAACTAGTGATAGCTTACCTAATCACCATGTATAACATTATTTTTACAATAAAATTTTAGGTTGACAGTCTAACATGACTTTTAGTGCACAGTTGCTTTATGAATTGGAGATTGCTTGGGTATTTATGCATACATTGGTGAAAATCAATTTGCCAGGAAATCCATTGTGTTATCGAAAATAAAACCATGAAACCTGGCACTAGTTACTTTAGAGAGTTTTGTTTGTTTGTTTTTAGTTTTTATGATCTTGACTTGAATAGTTTTAAGCCTTCCGACTTGTATTATTCAAGTCCCATAGAAACCTTGCCTTTGAATTTACCTTCTGTGAGCAAGACAATCAAATTTACTGGCTCTCAAACAAAGTCAAGTGTTGCTGCTACCCCTTCCAAAATGTCCATTCTACCTACCTCTATCTTACCACCTTTTTATATGTTGCTACTTGTTTTAGGGGGACACACCAGACCCCCGGTGTGATGCATTGCATCTCAATAACTCTTCTGGTTGGTTAGAATTAAGAGAAATCAAAGACTACAGCTGAATCTTACATAAGCTATTTGGACAACTGAGATATCACAGAGAATTGGTACTGCTGGTAGTTCTTGCCACCACCAGAATTTTACCCTGAAAAATGTCATTTGAAGTGAGTTTTTACACCTACCTGATTGGAAGTGCCAAGTGGCGTGGGGTCCCGGGAGAACTCTAGCCAGCTGAATTGGATGAGGAAAGGAAGCACGGAGTGGCTCACCTCTTCTCCTTCCAGCCTGGGTCCATGGTGGATGGTGAAGCAAGTTGTCCTTTGTTGGGTTGTGGCTGATGAGCTTCAAATCAGATACTCAAGGTTGGATTTGCCCCTTTTCTGGGTGCAGGCAACTTTATCATGCTTAGAGTTATTCTCCTTTTTTTTTTTATGAGAGGGAATTTCTTGCTGTCACATTTAGACAAGATGTTTCCTGGGTAGCTCATAAAGACCTGAACTGAAAAAGAAAAAGGGAAATATTTTGCTTTGTAAATATTTTCCAATAAAACAAATTGCCTATGAAATAAGATAAGAGCATCTGGGCCTCCTGTGTCAGGTCTTAGTAGTTTTGCTTCCAGGATCCTTTACGTTCTTCAGAATGATTCTCTATTGTTAAATAGGTCAATATCTGGTATTAGTTAACATATTAGAAACTAAAACTCAAATTGGAAATACTTATTTGTGGCTTTAAAAACATCACAAAGGGGTGCTGGGAAGGTGGCTCAGTGGTAGAGCACTTGCCTTGTATGCATGAGGCCCTGGGTTCGATTCCTCAGTACCACATAAGCAGAAAAAAAAAAAAGAAAAAGAAAAAAAACATCTCTAAGGGGCTAGAGATGTAGCTTATTAGTAACATACTTGTCCAGCATGTAGACGGACTTGAGTTCATGCCACGGCATCAGGTTTTACTTGTTATTGGTATGGTGGTTCCTTCCTCCACCTGCACCCCCTGCCCCCCACTATTACTGGGGCTCTCCCTTAGCTTTTTCACTCAAGACTAGTGTACTACTACTTGCGTCACACCTCCAATTCTGGCTTTTTGCTGGTTAATTGGAGATAAAAGTTTCATGGATTTATTTGCCTGAGCTGGGTTCAAAACATGATCCTAGATCTCAGTCTCCTAAATAACTAGTTTACAGATGGCCTTTTTCTTTTTCTTTTAAAATTAAGGAATAGGAAAACATTACATGCTAACACAGATGTTATTTGTTGCAAAAAGAAGTTTTCTCAAACCCAAACATTTGCTTTAAAGATGTAATTTTATTGCTTGCAAAAATGTCCCTATCAAGTGATTTCTTCAGCATGACTTGTTTTGCTTTGGAGAGACTGTGTGCCAATCTCTGATCTGAACAACCATATTTTGTCTTTTATTTCACAACATACCCTGTTGTGGCTTTAACTAGCTTGTAAAACTTTCTATTGAATAGTCAGTAATCACTTTGATATCTGGAAAGCATTTTGTGTGTGTATGTCCTCAATTTGTTATACAGACTTCATATACTAGATTTCATAAAATGAATAGTCTGCACTGTGCCATCAATGCTGTTCCAGAAGGACACTGACATTTGTTTGGAAACAAAGTGAGCATGTGGCCATGAAGTATACCACCACAGTTTGGTGTCTGTCTTGGTTTGGGCTTAGCTGTTTTCCCTGGCATTGCATTTATATCATCTATGCCAATGGCAATGTAGCAAAGAGGACAGATTTGTTCTGGTACTGTGTAAACCGTTTTGAACTTGGGAACCTCTTGAGTGGATCTCAGGTTCCCCTAGGAGGGCATGGACTGTACTTGGATAACATCTGATCTATAGGAGTAAAGGCACTGCAGGTCAGTTTTAAGTGTCTTTTACATTTAGTTTGCTTGTTGTACCCATTATGATTCTATTTTGTTAAGAGGTAATATATACCATCAGTGCTAAGTTTTTCCTGCTAATTCATTGAGCTTCATTTGGTTATTAATCAGTAAATGGTAACTAAAGAAGCCACTAAATATACTAAATATATAGCATACTATCTAAAATCAAGAAGCTTTGTCAAAACTTTCCTGTGTTTTCCTGTAAGTGAATTCACTGATTTCATGGTTGAAGAAACTGTGTTTCTCTATAATCACTGAGCTAATGGGACAGACAAAAATAAGTTACTTTCTTAAGGATAGTTTGATTTAAGGATGTTTTGACGTTATAGTGGTCTGAAAATATTCAGTAGGAACCTTGTTTAAAGTTTGGTTTTTGATCTTCTCTTAGGTTAGCAGTATGTGGGGTGAGATGCTCTGTGGTTTGCTTGCTTTCCTCTGTGTTACTGGAGATTGAACCCAGCATCCTGTATATACTAAGCACATGTTTTACCATTGAGCTACACCCTTGACCCCCTACACTGAGCAATGCATCATAACTCCTTGTCAATGAGGGGAAACATCAAATAATCCTATAGTGTATTGTACTGCTAAGGTCTGATGTTTGGCAGATTAGGTAGGTAAAATTGACTTACAGTATTTTCAAGTGGCAATGGACTTCTTAGGAAGTACCCCTTGAGGAACATCTGTATTAATTCCACCATAGCAACTTGAAAGCAACCCTAGACAATATTATAAATAAAGGTAGCAATAAAACTGTATTTACACAAATAAGTCCTATGAGCTATAATTTGCTGGTCTTTACTCTAATTCAGGGGCCTGCCTTCCATCTATCTATTCACCAGTCAGTAGTGAATATAGGGCCAGACAGCCTGGTTTTGTTGAATAAGCATCCAAGTATGGTGACTTTGACCAGACTGCATCCATCCTGTTAGTTATTAGCAGCTACTTGCCAAAATGTCCATTCACATATTATTTATAGGGCCCAAAGCTTTACTTAAGTATATTTTCACAATTTGTTCTGGTTTATGTATCCGTGGGCCAACAAGAGGCATAGATTTAAAAGAGGTTTTTATATATTTCTCATGAGATACCTTGAAGGTCTGTGAGCTGACATGTTAAAAGATGTAATCACAGTATAATGTGGAGTGACAAGGAATGATGAGGGCAGAGGTAATGATGCTGAAGAAAACAGAATATACAGCTTTAAATGCATTGATCTCTCTTGTTCCTGGAAGATTTTTAAGAGGAGCTAATCTCATCAATCCTCCAAAGACTCGACACGCATCACTGAGTTTCCACTTGGCTCATGAGAGCTCTGCCAGCAGACTCAGGCTTTTGTGTTGTCATATTTCTAACTCATCAAGGTGACATTCTTAAATGGGATACAACCAGGAAAGATTTCTGAGGGTGGATTATGTTTAGCAAGGTTGTCCTGTAGGTACTGGTGTAATTATTTTTGAATCTGAGCTCTGTAACTTTATTCCTGCTTCATTTAAAAAGGAAGAGATTGCTAATCCTAGCTATTCAGGAGGCTGAGAGCTGAGGACAACTTTTCAAAACTAGGCCAGACAAGAAAGTCTATCAGACTCTTATTAGTTAACCACCAAAAAGTTGGAAGTGGACCTGTGGCTCACGTGGCCTTCGACAAACAAGCTAAGGGACAGCTCCCAGGTGCTATGTTCAAACCCTAGTACTAGCACAGAAGGGGAGGGGAAAAGGAGAGGGAAGGAGAAGGAGGAGAAGGAGGAGGAAGAGGAGCCAAGGGAGAGAGAAGATGATGTTTGGTCTGATATGACTAGCATTGGCTTCTGTTTCTATTTCTAAATTTCTCTAAATGTATGAATAGTATATAGGTCTTCCATAGATGAACTATGTAGGGCAAATAAGATGATACATTGGGGATTGGGACTTAAGTTTTTTCTCATCCATTTTATTTGTGTATATTTTCTACCAAGTCTAACATAATCAGTGCAGTGGCACACATGTATGGTTTATAGCTAATCATGCATGATGGGGAGTCTATAGAACTTTGATCCTTGGTACAAATGATCAAAATTATCTTTTGTCTGGGTGCCAGTAGCTCATGCTGTAACCCTAGCTACTCAGAGGCTGAGATCTGGGACATCATTTCAAAGCCAGCCTGGGCATAGAGTCTGTGAAACTATTATGTCCAATTAATGACCTAAAAAGC